CACATATACACTCTCTCACTCTCACTCATTCGTAAGCCTTCGGCGCACTGTTAATTATAACAATTCTTATAAATCCATCATTATATGGTTACATATTTTTTAATTAATATCAATTTAATAAATTAATTAATGGCAATTAATTAATTAATTTATTTATTTATTTATTTATTCTTCTCTTATTATATCTTCCATCATTTTTACCAACTTAACTCGTAACTTTCAAGTAAACAACACCCTATTACAATCGTGTTTCATTCATAAAATTCTTTCATTCTTTCCTATCATTCTTATTTTTTTTTTCTTGTTTTGTTTTGTTTTGTTTATTTCACAAAAAGCACACTTCGCTTTGGCGCGTAAAAAATGTGTGAAACGAAGCGATTTTTTAACTGCAATAAACAGCAGCATACGAAGAGATGATGAAACATATGTAATGTAATTTATGTATTTTATTTATGTATTTTTAAATGTATGTACGTACGAAAGAGAATCATCGTGTCCCCCTCTCACTCACTCACTCTCTCTCTCTCTCTCTCTCTCTCTCTCTCTCTCTCTCTCTCTCTCCTCGCTATGTTTTATTTATTACTTGTAATTTTTTTTTTCCTTTTTTCCCTCTTTAATGTGTCTTCCATTTTATGTTATTTTATTTTATTTTATATTGTATTATTTCATTTTATTAATTTTTAAATTTAATCTTAATTTGACGATATCTCTCTCTCTTTCTCTCTCTCTCTCTCTCTCTCTCTCTCTCTCTCTTGTGTATATACACGGTTTTGAAATATAATTTTTCTTTTTACTTTTTGTTTTTGTTTTTGTTTTTTTTTTGTCATTAAATTTTTTCTTGCATACCTTTTATTGTTTTTTGGTTTTTCTTATGTTTGGTTTTTTTTGTTTTTTGTATTTTGTTTTTTGTTTTTTGTTTTTTGTTTCAACGCAATTATTATTATTCCTGTATGTAATATGTGTTATGTAAAATGTGGTTTTGTAATATGCGTAATGCGTATGTACGAAATAACTTGCAAGCAATATTTGTAAATTTTTTTGTCCTTTTCTTTTTTGTTTGTTTTTTTTTTATCCTTAAATTTGCAACGATGCGACTATAAACGGTGACAGAAAAGAAAAGAAAAGAAAAGAAAAAAAAAAAGAAGAAAAAAAAAACATATTTTTGTTATTTATCTATGTTTTTTTTTTTTTAAACTGATGCGACGCTCTGTATGTATACGTGTCTCTCTCTCTCTCTCTCTCTCTCTCTCTCTCTCTCTCTTTCTCTCTCTTTCTCTCTCTGTGTATACATACATATATATATATGTATATATGTAAAATTAGGTGTATATCATTTTTTTATTTTTCGTTTTTAAAGTTATACGTCGTCGTTGTCGTCGTGTATTTGAAAACAATTTTTGTTTTTTTTTTTCATGAATAAAATAAAAGAATATAATGATAAGACGTTTTCGTTACTAATGTTGTGTTATTGTTATGTTATTGCTGTTATTGTTGTGTTATTGTTATTTATTATTGTTAATCTACTACTATAAATTCTATCGCGCTAAGTTTAGAAAGTGCATCGAGAATTATTCTATTTAAACGTCAGTCAGTACTTAATTAAAAACGAATGAAATGAATGAGATGAACGCGTTGATTAATGAACTAACAATAATAATGAACTTTACAATTAATGATTTTTTAACGAACATTTGTTTTGTTTTGCTTTGCTTTGTTTTGTTTAATTTTTTTTCTATTTGATTGGTTTTTTTTTTATATTTTCATTTTTTTGTTGTTTTTTTCTTTTTTTTTCTAATCTTCTTTTCCATCATTTTTATTGATTTCGTTTTTTCTTTCTTTTCATTTTTATTAGTTTTCTGTCTCCACCTACTTCTTCTTCTTCTTCTTCTTCTTCTTCTTCTTATTTTAAATAAGAACATAATAATTTATAATAAACATTTGTTTTGTTTTGTTTTGTTTTTTTTTCGAGATTTGATTGTGTTTTTTTTTTATCTTCAATTTCTATAATTTTTATTGATTTCTTTTCTTTTTTTATCTTTCTTTCTTTTCCATTTTTAGTTTTGTCTGATTTCTGGTCTCTACCACCTACTTTTTCTTATTTCAAATAAAAATAATATATTTAAACGTTTAACTAATAAAAATGTCACTCTTTTTCTATGATTCGACGTGTCATCACTACTTCGAAATTTGTCACTTATCAAAAAATCACGATGTAGATCGTACATATATATATATATATTAAACATAAAAAATATTACTAAACGATTGATATTGGCATTTATTAGCCATGGGCGTTATTTTATAAAGACGACGAACTATTACAAGTGATGCATTATTTTATGATACAGAATCAATCGGTAATTTTTTCTTTTTTTCTTTTTTTTTTTTTTGAAACGCAAGAAAAAAAAATACACGGTTCGGACAATATCATACACTTTACACACAACCAAATTTCTTCGTTTTTTTCTTATATATATTATATGTGTATATATATATATATAGATATATACATATACATATATTTTGTTTAATTTCATACTGTACTTCGTCTGAAAGGAATAAAATAAAGAATAACTAAAAAAAAAAAAAAAAAATAAAGTAAAAGATTTAAACGAAATAATAAACCACCCCTTTTAATAGGGAAATTAACACAAACATTTGTTTTTTTTTTTTTTTTGCATAACCGAATATTTATATATTATATATACATATACAATTGTTATAAAAACTTGTTACAGACTCATTTCGAATTTAGTACGTAATACGATTGAAAAGAAATAAGTTATTTAAGAAAAATAAGAAAATAATAATATTATATATAATAAATAAATAAAACGAATAATAAGGAAGAAGAAAATAATAATCCCATGTATGGAAAATGTTTAGGCGATTAAAAATGATCTAAACGTAAACTTTGGCAATTTTTATCTGAAATAAAGGAGCAAGTGGAAATATTAGTACTATTTGATTATTATTATTATTATTATTATTTATATTATTATTATTATATTATATTATATTATTAAAGTATATTATATATTATATATATATTATGTATATTATATTATTATTATTATTAATATTTTTATTATTATTATTATTATTATTATTATTATTATTATTATATTTAATATTATTATGCCGTATGTTTCATATTCCTAATATAATTCTATCAAAACGTATCGACATCAATTGCACTAACACGTACGATCGCTATTTTTTTCTCAAAAGTCTTATAATCTGTCATCTAATCAGCTAATATACGAGAGTTGTAAAAATATATGTATATATATATATATATGTATATATATATATATATAATTTTTTTTTTGGATCTTTCCGATGAAAAATCTATCGACGTCAACGTTTTCTTTTCGTGTTTCGTTCTATATAATTGGACCGTTTTATTTGTTACAAAAGTAGTGTTAGTCCATTATTGTTCTTTTTTTTATAATTCAGATGATACATCATTTTTATTGATTAATTATAAATAAAACATAAAAATGATGTATTTTCTGAATTGTTTTTTTGTTTTTGTTTTTTCGAAAATAGACTTTCCACCACTTTCGTAATAAATCGAGATCCAATTATGTCAATGAAAATTAATAATAACAATAACGCGAACATAAAAAAAAAATAAAAAAAGAAATAGAGAAAAAAAATTACGATCTGTGAAAAATGCTCATCTACGAATGCAAAAAAAAAAACAATTATTATTATTATTATTACTATCATTATTATTATTATTATTATTTATATTATTATTAATATGATTAATGTTGCTAATAATTATTGTTATTAATATTATTAATTACATTTCATGTCAAAATATTGTTAATTTAACGAATTTTAATGTCATATGGTTTCAAATCCAACGAAACAGATTAATAAGATAACTTTACACAAATGTTATCTTAAAATTTCGAATTTTAATTAATTGTCATTTGGTTGTGTGTGTCATGTTCGTGTATGTGTTGTCCTCGTTCGCCATCATGTATACATATATATATATAACAGAAACTTAAATTATCAAGCGTAACAAATTACAAAATCAAAAAGAAAACACCCCTTTAAATCTTCAACACAATGTGAACAATCATCTCACTGTAATACACGCATAGTACATATATTCTTCTTCTTCTTACACAAACAAATTTTCTGTTAATCACTGATCAATTGATGAACGTTTCTTTAACATATTTATTATATCAATAAAAAGAAATATTTTTAAAGAAAGAAAAAAAGAAAAGAAAATTTCGAAGTAATATACGTACATAGTCGGGGGGAATGCGCGCATTCATGATTTTCCTAATTAATTGCACGTTTTGTAATATAGTCAAATGAAGAATATATATCCTCAATGATAAAAAAAGTGTTGCAAAAGTCTTCATTTAATTAAAGTAATGATCATTGTGTTGCATCCCTCACCTCCCCACTGCACTCTTTCCGTAGAGACAGGAAGCACAATGCATAAACACATTTCACAGAATGTTTCAAACACTAGTTCTCGTACGCACGCACTATGTATGCATATATATGTTGTGTGTATTGTGTGTATGTTACGGTATGTTATGTTATGTTATGGTATGGTATGTTATGGTATGGTACGGTATGGTATGGTATGGTATGGTACGGAGATGGTATGGTATAGTATGATTTGATATGGTATGGTATGGTATGGTATGGTATGGTATATATAATCAACGAAAACTTACGATTATACCGGTTTTTCGAAGATCAATTGGCATTGAAAAAGAATTTCAAATAATATTACAAAGAATTAGATAATTCCGGATATGAGAAAGTAAGATCATTTACACATTTGTCAATGTGATCGAACAATCTTTAAATGCCTAATTACTGAAAAATCTATGCATACAGAACGAAACATGTCACCGTTTGCGCGACACCATTTTCTCAGCCATCAAAGGAATTATGCGTTAGATTAATTCAGTATCTTATGTTACCTAGGTAATGTGTTTGTGTATCAAATCATTATCGTAACAATTATTTCTTGGGCACACACCGAATTAAAGTCTCAGCTGTAAGCACGCATCGTTATTCGTTTCATATTTATTCATTAGCCATCCTCCTTCGGTGGAGTGAACCAACCTGGAAAGATAATTTTAGAGATACACTTTTCATTCACTTTTTCTTTTTTATTTTTTTTTATGATGATGATTACATTTTCGTTCAAATGTTCATCTTTAAAACATATGAAAACAATCACTTAATATATCTCACCATTCTTTTCATGTATTTGTACGAGTGATTTAAACGACTGTTGTGCACGAGCCAAACTGTATTGCCCTTGTCCACCGCACACTTTACCAGGACCACCTGAGCCCTGAAACTGTATACGTGCTTTTCCTTTTACCAGTGTTGCAGATATTTGCATTATTACCGCTTCCACTGTATACGCTGAACTCCATCCCTGTTTCGTAAGAAGTTCCATACAAATAGCACCTCCTACGAGAACATATCCACCCGATATGATTGGATGTACGACTCTTACGAAGGGCGGTTCAAATGGATAAGTTTCCTATAATAAATCATTATTGATAAGAAACCAATTCAATATTTTCATCAAAAACAAACTTATTTCTTTGTCAAAGATTTTACAAAGAACGAACACAGGAATAATCTTCACACTTTTATATTACACTTTTTTAAGGGGACACGTCACCCAAAAGATCGATCTCTTTTTTTTTTTCGATTTTCTGAAAGAATATTATTTCAAAAATATTTTCACTCAAATTTTCGTAAAGATCCGCGTATTATTTACGAAATTGTACTAGTTTAAGCGAAGCGCGCCTAGTGCGGCCAAAACAGGTATATACAAGCGCACTCAAGAAAGTACGAAGAAGGCGAGAAAAATTCGACGGCAATCAAAAGTCACTTCTGCAGAGGCTGCTAATGCAGCAGAGGGTACCTCTTATTGCCCTAGAATCGATGATTCAATGTAAATATGAATGCAAGTGTTATCTTAACTTTATCCGTTTATTTCTCCTATTCGCGTTTTTAAATCGGTTGCCCTCGCTGCGTTCTGATCATTCATCCGATCTTTACCAAAATTTGTACAGTAATACTAGATACACGTATCTAGGAAATGAACGGAAGGATTTAAAAAAATGAAAATTTCCTTCCGTTCATTCCCTGCGCAAAAATCTCAATTAAAAGAAAACACTCGGTTTTTTTTTTTTTTTCAAATGAACCAATTTTTGCCAGTGAGGGCAACCGCAAATAATCACCTTTTTTTTTTTTAGACTCTTGGATGAGTGGCCACAGACAACACAATTTACCGTATTTTTACATACAAAAATTTATAAATATATTTCAGATATATAACTTTCATATATCAAAACATTGTATTGATATTATTAAAACCGGCTGCATAAAAAATTCACAAAAAAACACTTTTTTTTTTTTTACACTCTAAGGTGACGTGTCCCCTTAACGACAAACAACACTGTATTATACCTTAAAAAGCATATTAAGTAGAATACTGTCTTTTCCTTCCTTTTCTTTAAGAAGAATGAGATCACTGTGGAGAGGCGAGTCAGGATCAACGCACATCAACCTAATGTTCCATTCGTATAAACTGTCATTTACTAATTCTATGCTGTACATTCCTGAAATATATGAATAACATTCAGGAACAAATCTTGATATCATATTAACTTTCATTGGTGATAAAGAGAGAGAGAGGAGAGATAAAGTAAGTGACTGGTGATACAGACAATTATCCATTAACCATATAATACCTTTTTTAAAGCTGTCACTTCGGTAAATGTCTCTCAATTCTTTCATTAGCCTGTCTGTCGCTTGTACACTTCCACAAACAGATCCCTTTAAGTAATCTTGTCTCTGATTCTGTCTCAACCTTTCTAGCGTCGCAAGGTGTTCTAAATCCATTTCGTCCCCCTTTGTACGGATAAAATACATAGCAATCCGTAAAAATCATAAATAACATGCTTACTTCTACAATGTTTATAACAGCCATAGAAATTGATTACGCAAGTAATTAGAATAAAGTAGTCAAATGTATCTACTTACCTTGGTCTTTGAATTCGCGTCACCTTCATCCATATCTAAATGAAGATCTTCTTCTGCTTCGCTTTCTTCATCTTCGTCAATATCTTCGGTATCTTCAGCTTCCATTCTTTGCGACATAGCTTCGTTTGCTCCTCCTAATCTTAATGGATCCAATGCTGTTCTTAATCGTTCGACGTCAGGTGGTTCTGGTAGCGAATGCAGCCGACATAATTCTTTAAGGAGGATTCCAACTTGGTTGATTACATGATTGTCTCGACCAGTTGTGTTGCTTAAAATCTGTACTGCATTGGTGACACTGGTCTCTTCTGATTCTGCAAACCATACTGGCGGTGTTGAGGGATACGTTTCCTAAGAAATGCAATCAAACATAATTATTCAATAATATGAAAAGAGACACATACACATATTCTTATATTAAAGAATACAAAACAGAGGTTATGTCTGATTGATTATAAGAAGAGAAAGTTCAAATTTCGCAAGAGAAATGAAAAGATAAAACTTCTTGTTTGTTTGATACGAAAATAATTAAAAGATTCTATTAATTAGCATTAAAACAAATGAAGAAAAACAACACTTATCACGTAATACAAAACTCCTTCACCAACATTATACATTCTATAGAACGGATACCACCACAATAATTATTCTAAAAGCATAACATCGAGAAACGATCGATGTGCTATTTCGACAAAACAAATACATACATATCGATAATGTACATATATATATATANATATATATATATATATATATATATATATATATATATATATATATATATATAACCAATATATCGACGCAAAAGCCTGGATTGCGTTCGCCCCAACGATTTCTTCTTTCTTTTCTTCAAACAGGTACTTATTTAACTTGATCAACATGAATCTCTGATCAAAATCAAACACTATACATTTACCTTACTATCGTTTAAACATACATATGTACAAAAATGATCATGAACAAATCTTACATTTGAATGTGTTGTTATCAAAATATTGATTCAAATGATTTGGAACAGACACTTGTAAACCAACCAAAATATCAATTCTTTAAACATGAAATCAACAATATCTTACTTTTTTAAAGCAAAATTTCATAAAATCATATTTTCTTGGAATATTTATTGCGAAAGTAAGATAATACGTTTTCGTGATAACGTACAAATTACAACGATGACAATGACAATGACAATGACGAAGGTAACGAATATGATTCCGTTACATATCCCTAATTGAAATATAATAATAAAAAGTAATAAAAAGAAATAATAAAATCAACTTATATTAACTATTATACAAATGTCACATTGTATGTATAACGATTAATAAAATGATTTGTTTGTAACGTAAGAAAAGATAATTGAAATTTAAATTAATGACGATATAATATAATGATTATTACGACGAACAACGACGGACAAGGACACAACTACGGGAGAAGAGAGGGAAGGGGAAGGAAGAAGAGAGGAAAAAAAAAAGATGATGATGATGAATGATAGTTAACTATTGAAGTAACCAAGATGACAATCATTGATTCATAGTTCAGGTATAAAGAATAAATACAAAAATGAATAAAATGACAAGATGTATAGGAGTAGGTAGAAGTTAGTTCCGTTGTGAGGGCCTTACCCTCTATCGAGTGCACACCACGCATTGACCTCCAGACGCGCGCGACGCGTTAATTCCTCGACAAAAATCTAACCCATCGAACAAATCGACCAAGAGAGAAAGAGAGAGAGAGAGAGAGAGAATCAGAGATGGTGGTAGAGAGAGGGAGAGGGGGAAGATCGATCGAAGCAATGTCAAAATCTTACGAGTGCGGTACAGCGAAAGGATGGCGAGATATGGGCTAAATGTAAAAGCGTGCGACTCGAGCTTGACAAATGAAAGAAAGAGATGTATATGTATATAAAAAAAAAATAAAAGAAAAGAGAAAGAAAGAATATAAAAAGGAGTATATTGAAAGATTCTTCTTCTTCTTCTTCTTCTTCTTCTTCTTCTTCTTCTTCTTCTTGTCAAAATTTCCAAATAACAACACGAGTCAGTAAAGTGTTGTGTTGTTTCTTTGTCCTTATCGGTTGAGATAAGAGAGAGAGAAAGAGAGAGACAAAGAGAGAGATAGAATGAGAAGAAGAAGAAGAATAATCGACTAGCATGAGAAAAAGGGAGAGTGAGATGAGAGTAAAAAAGATAAAGAGAGAGAAAGGGAAGGATAGAGGTAGATAGGTAGACAGAAGAAAAGGAGGGCGGCATGAAGACAGACAGAAGAGAGAGAAAGAAGGAGAGAAACAATGACGGAAATGAAGGCGGGCTTCTTCGATAAAAAAAAAAAAAAGAAGAAAAAGAAAGAAAAAAACTTATCCAAAGGGTTATTGCAAAATGATATAATAACCAATTAATCTATCGTATCGTATTACTATCTATACTATACTACGATGATAACAACAACAATAATAATAACGGGAATAATAATAATAATAATAATAATAATACTAATAATAATAATCATAATAAGAAAAAGAAGAAGAAGAAGAATAAAAATAATAATAATAACTATAATAATAACTATAGGTAATATAGAGTTTACGCACTTACTGTTATATTGGCATGTATTTCGTATTTCTTTCCATTTTTACCGACGAATCTGCAGCTGAGCTCGTCCACGCTCGCAGACATAATTTGAAATCTTTCATGGCTCTTTGGAAAGACGGACTCGAGGGTTTTAATCTCCTGCTTTAACGTGTTCAAGCAAGCCATTTGGGGGAAGCGGCCGAGTCTGCTATGCCCCGAATTTTTCGCCGCTTATCGTTTCACTAAAAACACTAAGCAGTCAAGAGAAACACGACGAACCCGAGGACTACCCGACAAAATGGCGACCGCGACTGAGAAACTTCGGCCGGTATCGTGCAATTCCGTTCTACTCCGCTATCAACTGGCGCCACTAGAGGTTTTAATATATCCAGGTTTTACTGCTACGTGCTTCATACGCGATATCGCTTTTGACGTCTTTCCGTTATCCACCGCCAGTCGTTCAAATTTAGTTCAGAAGATTTTTAAAACCGGAAGTTTATTATCTATTTTCATTTATCATTTTCATCTAATAATATGACTTATTCAAAATGAAATTTATTTCTTTTTAATTTTAGTCATTCCTTTGAATTTGATTTTTTTTTTTTTTTTTATAATCTTTTTCTTTCTTTTTTTTAGTTTAAATTATTAAATTATAGACAGATCGTTTGTGCTATTATTTTTTTGTTTATATATATATATATATATATGGAAATTGATTAAAACTAAATATCGATTGTATCATGAATTTATTTGAAATATTTTGTATTTTTTATATCTTATAAACTATATTTACAAAGATATAGAAAGAGAGAGAGAGAGAGAGAGGGGGATAGAGAGATAGAGAAAGAGAAAGAGAGAGAGAGGGAGGCGATATTTATATTAAAGTATAATACACGTATTATGTTTAACAAATATTAACAAATAAATGAAACTAATCTAAATACACTACAAATCATTAAGTTCTAATTTTTGGACTGGGCTCGTAATTCATTGCCTTTCTTTCTTTCTTTCTTTCTTTCTCTTTCAACGTCGAGTACAGAGGATATACTTTTTTCTTTTCTTTGCTATATAAACGTTTTTCTGTTAAGTACTATTCAAAATATTTCTCGCGTAAAAGCCGTCTCTTTGCATGTATATAAATATATATATACATATGGAAATGACAAGAAAAAAAAAAAACATCATTAAAATTATTTGTTTTTTTTTTTTTTTCGTATTACGATATAAAATTTTTCAAATAGTAGCCATATATATATAAACATCCAAGAGAGAGTTGTGCCATATTACTTTGTCAAATGTGTCACGCATTTTTTTTTTTTTCACCTACGCAACCATAATGTAACAGTAAACATAATAATCTATATTTTTGTTTCTAATTTTTCCCAAAAATTATTTTTATGCGACAAAAATAATTTGGCTGAATTTATCTATCTCACATTTCTAAAAATATTTTTCTCGTCGTTCATTCGAATATAAATAAAAACATGGATGATACAAAATAATAATAATAATAAATGATGATCATTGTATGATGATGATGATGATGATGATGATGATGATGATGATGATGATGATGTTCGTAATAAAAAAGAAATACACATACAATAAATATATGCTTTGATTACTTTCATAAAAATAATAATTAATATTTTCGTATAAATTTCGTTAAAAATGTTTAATAAAATAGTAAGAGGAGGTCACCAGTCCACGGTATTATTAATTTCTTTCTCAAATAGGATAATTTTCGATTTGTTTGGTAAAATTCATATTTTTATATGTATATGACACACCACAATGATAATTTATAAATAAAATATATAATTTTCACCGTAACAGGATGCCTGAGTAATTTTCATTTATTTTCTTTCTTTCTTTTTTATTTTCTTTTTATACAATTATAATTCAATTAATTGCAATTCGTGCGTTTGAATACGTATTTAAGTATTCTTTCGATTCATTCGTATGTATATTTTTTATATTTATACAATTTTCTTTTTTCAAGGTTCGATGTGAGAAAAAAAAAAAACAAAAACAAAAATTATTCATTAATTATTTAATATGAATATAAAAGCCTCATGACTTCAAACTAAACAATAAATAATATAATAATAACTAAACGAAATGTTGTATTATAATTATATTGTTTCTAATAAATATAAAATAATACTATTATTATTATAATTATTATTATTATTATTATTATTATTATTATTATAATAATTATTATAATTATTTAGATTAATTTATAATTCTTACTGGTTTTCTTCGATGACTTCAAGTAACAATTTGCAATTTGTACTGGTAAAATACCGTCAGTCAAAAAGGAAGACACGACTATGCCACATTCTTTATTCTATTATTCATTTTTTCAATAGAAAACAAGATTCTTCGTTTATATATATTTATATATATGTATATATAAAATATTTATTATATATATACATATATATATATGTATATATAATATATTTTCATTTGTTAATTTATTTTCCCCGTTTGCTCTTCCTAGTATTTAAAAATAAATATAAACATTTATTATTTATATATATATACATATATATATATATATATATATATATATATATATATATATGTATGTATATAATTATATGTAATTTTAGATACAATAATTTTATAAATAATAAGATTCTTCAAATACAAGGAAACATCAATGATACGCGATAATGAAATGAAATTAATTTTTAAATTAAAATTTGATGAAACGAACAAATAAACAAGAAGAAAAGAAATTAACTATACAAAACAATAAAAATTTAAAAAAAAAACAAAAACAAAACAAAAAAAAAAAAGAAGAAGCATATATACTCCAACGAATGCAATAATTCGTTGCACATCTTTCTTTATCCTGTAATATAAATAACATTTATTGATATAACATTTGTAAAAATGTTGTTGAAATAAATAGAAAAATTTGAAAAGAATTTTATTTCATTTTTTTTTTTTTTTTTCTATAATATTTTGTTTTCTTGTTTTGCTTTCTTCTTCTTCTTCTTCTTCTTCTTTTCTCCTCTTCCAGCTTAGAATACTTAAATTATAATAACGCTATCCTTACATACGAATTTTACATTATGATGACATACATTCAATTGATTGTTATCATATTGTAAAGACCTAATGTATCCCTAAGCTGCTTGCTGCTTGCACTGCGCTGTTGTTTTCCGTTGCTGTCGCCGCCATTTTTTTTTTCTTTTTTTATTTTACATTTTCTTTCTATTATTTCAATTCTTTCGTATATTAATTAATTTAGTTTAAAGAACATTCGATAATAAATGTTACATATTTTATTGAAAGTCTATAAAACTGCAATCCTGTGTACGGTGCAATGACAAAAACAAAAATCAAATTAAAATCAAATAATTGATTTTTTTTCAAAAATTTGTTTTCTAATATTTTGTTTTTCCATGATCGATCGATACCTCACACATACTACTACTACTACTACTCCTCCTGTGACTTTTTATTTTTTTTCCTCTTTAGAAACAAACATAAATATTTGATAACGGATGATTTAAAAAAAAAAAAAAAAAAAAAAAGAAACGTTCTCTTGCAATTTGACATTTTTCTCTCTCTCTATTCTTTCGATCTTAAATAACGCACATTCGAAATATTTTTGTAAAATATTTTTACAAATCTTAATTATCCCGAGAGAGACAGGTTGTGTTTTATCTGCGTTAATTTTTTTTTTTTCGTTTGTTTTCTTTGTTGACCAAAATACGAATCGAACGATTCACAAAACCCCATTATTAATGCAGCTATTTTTATCAGAATATACATTAGTAACAACTAGGAACTTGACGAAGCATTACCTCCACCTTTCAAAATGTACAAATGCCGATGTATAGTTTTTCCTTATTTTATTAATTATTTTTTTTTTTATTATTATTATTATTCATATTATTATTTAGTTTTTTTTTGTTCTTTATATATATATATATATATTCACTCTAATATGCAATAGGCATTTTTTTTTTTTTGATATCCATTTCGATATCTAAATACACGGAATTAATGGTGCATCATTTAAAAATGAGCCCAAATGGTTTTTATTTATACTATCTCAGTTTGTAAATAATGTTTAGCACATTCTTTCTCCAAGAACAACATTTAAAGAGAAAGAATAGAGACACGTTTTTATATACAAAAAAAAAAAAAAAAGAGAAAGATATTTCATAGGACAAGTTTAAAAAGAAAAACAGAAAAAAAAAAAAGATGAGGTGTTTGTCATATATAAATTTTGTTTGCTTGTATTTTATGGATTTTCATTGTTTCTTTTTTTTTGTTTTTTTCTTTTTTTTTTTTTTTATAGAATACACAGAGAATTGCGTTTTGCAATGTGATTAATAATAGTGCACGAGAAAAAAAAAATATTATCACACAAGGATGTATTTATAGAAAGAAACGTCAAATGGGGGGGGGAAGAAGAAGGGCAAATTTAAACAAATAAAAAGTATCACAAAGAACACAATAATGTAGTAATAATAATAAACATTAATAATTAATAGCAATTATAATAATTAATAATAACTAATCATCAATCATCGCGCACACCGCCTATATTTTGTCAATATTATTATTATTATTATTATTATATATGACTTTATTTACAAACATTTGAATGTTCTCATTAATGTGTATATAAAGATATGCTTTGGAGAAAGAAATGGCTCTTTTTCTTTCAGACTATGACGTCTTCACAGATCTCTTGTATTCTCAACAAACAAAAATTCAGATGTTTCTTGTAATATTACTCTTACATAGCAAGTAACTCATCTCAAGTATGTACGTAATATATTTTTTCTTCTTCTTTCATTTGTTCATCCCCCTTTTTTTTCACGGCTTTATTTAAAATGCCGGATGATAATAATCGTACGTAGGCCAGTAAGGCTGTAGCCAGTCCTAGCTAGTGCGTTGTCGTTTTTTCGGTGGGTGCTCTTCAGAAGAGTGTGCTGGTGGTGCAGGCATTACCATATCGTCTCTGTTAAACATGTACTTAAACTGAGGCATGTACTTCATAATATTTCCTACTTGTATTAGCGGTAATTCTTCGTTTACAGAAGAACATTTGCCTGCATCCATCAACATTTTCATTTGCAGTCTGCATAAGTAAAAGTAATTTCCACTTTCAGTTATTAAATAAATAAGTTAAAAATAGTTTTGTTTTTTTTTTTTAAATTTTAAAACAATATTTCTTTTTTTTTTGCATGTATATTGATTTATTTATATAAGGGAAATTAGGTATGTATGTATATATATATATGTATACACACGGTCAACGTATTACTACGGGCATTGTATAGATTGTCCGTTTAATCTATACAAAGTTAATTGAGACCAAAACCCTTTGGGCATTGTACGCAATGCCCTTAGTAATACATTGACCATATGTATCATTGCGGGAAACTCACCTATTCCCTTGATATAGATCTATATTCAAGACGTCCGTAAGAACTTGTCTACAACTGTTAATGTCACAAGCAGGAAAATAATTAGACACAAAATCGGGAAGTGTCATCAATAATTCTGAGTAGATGTATGGTTTAAAGTTGATACAAGGTACCATTTTGTCTTCTATTAATGCCTTTTGAACTTGGTATGGTTGAGTTTGACAATTTGATATTGACGGTTCCGTGATATTTATTAAAGGTTTCCTTACTCTCGTATCCCTAAAAATATAATGAAATTATATTCTATTAATAATAATTAAAGAAAATGATTAATCTGAGTAAATTTATGAGGATAAAATAATTTAGTAGTAAGGCATACCTGGAACTATTATTACCTCCATTTACTGGTATTAAAGGTGGTGGATATTTTGTATGGGATGTATTGTGTACTGGTGGTGTATGCCTTTGCTGACGTGATAATAATGACGACGCTGTTGTAGGAGCTGGCATAAGGGCTTGTACCTGTTCACTTAAGCCAATCATTTGAGGATATGTTCTGGCCGTGACTGCATCAGGAACACCCAATGAAGGTGTCGTATATGTCGTAGTTACCCTGGAATATCAGCCCTTTCATGACAAGTAGGATATATTATGTAACTAGTTTAGTTATGATCATGTTAAAGTTAAATTTTAAGATTTTTATTTGAACATTATTTTCTAAATGGACAATTAACTTTTATCTTTAATTTAATATATATATAAACATTTAAACGTAACATATAAATACTACTTATGAGTTAGTAATTAATAAAAAAATTTAATTTAAAACTTTCTACGCTTATAATCGTTTGATCTATGCACTAATAAAGTTAGTTATGAAAAATATTCAATAAAATTTGTAACTTTTCGTAAACTTAACTTATTAAATAATTAATGAAAAAAAGAAGTGAGAAAATTTGCATAGAACAAATTTGTATTAGTTCTATACATGCTACCTTATTTTTTCTGTAGTAAACAAAAAACTATGGTACATACAACAGGGACTCACCAGTCATCCTTCCCATAGGTTGGATAACTACAGAAAAAAAAAACAAGACATTGTATGTACAAATGCAAACAGCATCGGTGCAAAAGTTCTACACACTAAATAACATTAACATCTAGTATGTAGGTAAATATTTTTAATATAAAAGAAAAAGAAAAGGTCATAATAATGATACCGAAACAGTGTTCAGAAAACAGAAAATAAAAAAGCCAATATATTTTCAATGATATATTTATTTCATACACATATATGTCCCAAAAACAAGTAACACAATATTAATGAAAACCACTACTACTTTATTAGCAAAAATTTCTGTTTTTATTTCTGCGACGAAAGGAATAATTTAAAATTACGAAAGAGAAAAAACAAAACAAAACAAACTAAGCACAAGTCACCTGGTGAAAGTGCGACAACGATAAAGTGTCGATAAATTTGAGAAAAGGGGTGAAATTTAAATCGACAATATAAATATATAAATGTGAGAGAGATATCATAGAAAAGGAAGATTAATAAATTTTTGTCTAAACTTACCCAAGATTAGGTTGACTATTATGCGCCGTTGCTCTAACGAGAGGGGGTGGTTGGGCCTGAGCTACGGCTTGCATAGTAGTAACTGGATAAACTCCAGGATACTGAACCGTTGCTCCGCCACCACCCCCTCTACTCCTCAATTGATGAGTGGTATAGGTTTTAGTTGACGCAGACATCTACCGTAGAAACATTTCAGTGGATCATTTGGATGATTGGATCATCATGGAAAGTAAGGTTTAATAGAAATTTGTCAAGATATCTTACATTGTGCATATTTAATGGAGGTGGTGTACGTATGAGGGAATTAGCCTGAGATACCAGAGCTGTTTGATACGCTGGTTGACCGCCAACAAGTCCCGACCATCCATTGACAACGCCTTGTACGACGTTCAGCATCGGTTGCGAAGCAATGCTCGATCTTCCCGAAGGAAGTGCTGATGGAGATGAATGAGCAGGATGAGTTACAGCAGTTGTTTGTCTTGATTGACTAACGCGCTGAGTTGGTTGCGCACTCGTGGTACTAGTTCCACGTGGTAATATCGTCTGTAAAGGGCCCGTACGCGTAGTATTAAGACTCGATTTACTCGTATTATTTTGTACAGAGGATGTTTTTGACACTGGTGGCGTAGGAGGTTGTCTGGTCCATCCACCGCCACCCCCACCACCCTTGCTACTCACTAATAACTGAGAATCCATCACTTTGTTCGGCCAATAATCTTCGAACCCCGTGTCGGGAGGAAAATAACTTTTAATATCACTCAAACTGATCACGGAGCATGTCTCACTTGCAAACAATTCGTTTCTTATACCCTGTACCTTGCAGCAAAACTTCAAATACGAAAGGTCCCAACCTTCAAGTTTCTCCGCTTTTAATTTCAAATTTTCCGTTTCACCCTCGAAATAAAATAAGGGTACGTACTGAAGACCGTCCTTCACCGTATAAGGTACCACTGATTCTTTATTAATCCGTATGAAACCACACTTCTCTGCCTTGTGCCTGCTAGATACGTTTGGACTTGAGCCGGCTGTTAACTTGGTATAACAAACGTCCAAAAATGTATAGAATTCTTTAGCGTCGGATAACCTCACTACAAGATCCTTGCACGAAAACTGATCCCTTCCAAATTGACTATCGCAATGCTTCATATTAATCTCGTTGAAAAGCCTACTCTCGGAATCCGTAATATAGTAACTTCTTATGCACGTACAACTATAGATATCCGAGTGCAGAAAACTCAGGTACTTGTTCAGGAGCTTAGACTCTAGGATTCGTACCGCGCAATATTTTTCACCGGCACGGTATATGTAAGGTATGTGAATCTCGTCGAAAGTGATCCATCCAAATCTACCCCTTTGACTTTCATCGTCCAAAGGAATTTTACCATCCCCTGTTGAAGTGGTTGAACCTGTTGTCTTGGCCACAGTCGAGTCAGCCGGACGTTTGTTTAAATAACCGAGGATACCAGGAAGATTTCCTTGTGGGGAAGATAAACACTGACTCCCTGCTGCTCCTCTTTGCTGTGCTGACCCTCCTCCTCCTCCTCCTCCTGCCCCGCCAGCCCCTGTCACCGTCGCCGCCGAAACCATTTTCGCCTTGTTCGCTTCCACCATTTTGGCAGCCAATTCTCGGATCTCCGCTTCATCTGGACGTTCTTGTTTAACGACAACTTTATCGAAACCTAGGAAATAAAAGTAATTATCAGTCATTTGTCAAACATAACAAAAATTATATCAAGGACCAAACACGCACTCTTACTCATACTCGAATCGTATAATCAAATATGGCGAACGCCTCTCTCTCTCTCTCTCTCTCTCTCTCTCTCTCTCTCTCTCTCTCTCTCTCTCTCATGTGTTTTACGATGATATATTATATATATATATGATTTATATACGATATATATTAGAATAAACAAATATGATCCTCTTTTCTTCATTTATTTCATATAGTGATTAATTGCTGAAGAATTGATTTATATATTATTGGGATTGTTCATAAAAATAGATTATTCAAATAGTCCATCTTTATTTACCGGCATTTAGAAATGCTTAAATAAAAGTTTGTTAGCATCGACTTATTCTATAAAAAGAAGAAGAAAGACAAAAAGAAAAAAGAAAAAGAATTAAAAAAACAATACCTAAAATCAGCGAATAAAGAATTCCTTCTTGCTGCATTGATAGATTCATGCTACACTGTTAATGAAACAATATATTTGCATATATAATAAGAGATGTAAATCACGGACATCGTAATGTTGCGATAATTACGTACGAATGGTTTTTATCGTTTTGTCGAAGAGCACCGTATAGATTATACATTCATTTATTACGTTGTGTTCATGACCTACGCCCCATATAATATACGTAACACTTATTCTACAACATAATCTTAAGCACCATTATAAATAAAAATAATTTTTTTGGAAGGTAATACACCAAGGAAATGCATTATTTAACAAGATAAAAAAAATTATATATATATATGTATATTTAATTTTATTTATTTATTTTAAATTTAAATTTCCACGCGTTTTTCTATCAATTCAACGTAAAAACTCAACGCGCTACGGGGTGTCACGTGTGTATGGTACGGTACTTTCTCGACTCTCGGCATCTTCAACTCTGATGAAGAGAGACAGAGATAGATATAGAGAAAAAGATTATTTTCAAATGAATAATAAAAGAAAAAAAACTCATCAAATCACTGAGTGAGAGAAACACACAACAATATCCCACAAAATACAACACACCTACACGTACACTGAACATACTGCACCAATTATTTTTATACGAATGACTATATAACACCAATAACACAGCACAGTACACGTGTATACAACGACGAAATTTTGAGAAATAAAAAACCAGAATTTAGAGGAAAGAATTAAAGGAAAATCATTAAACGAAACTAACGCAAGAAACGTCACACACAATTTGCTCATCAATCAAACATCTCCCCTTCCTGTTCTTCTTCTTCTTATTGTTTTTTGTCCTTCCTCCTAGGTGATATTTCTTCTATAGCTTTCACCTCGTAAGTCTTAAAGTATTATATTAACTTTGTAAAAAAAAAAAGAAACTGGCATCCGTCGATAGAATATAATCATCAAGTGTGTATTCCTCTTGTATGTATACCTTCTAATGGAGTAGTCAATTCGTTTGGACTTTCCAACTGCTGCTACTGCTAGTAAACTGTAGTTAACTGTTATGTTTCAAATAGGATTTCTCTCTATCACCCAAAAGCACAGTAGAGAACTCGGCGACACACATACATTCTTTTTTTTCTTTTTCTCTCTATCTCTCTCTATCTATCTCTATCTCTCTCCCTCTTTTTAATACACAGTAGAGTGCACTTGTTCTTACAATGTTGCAAAGGCAACGTTTTTGCATTTTACATTCAAACGATATAAAGAAATACTACTACTTCTTCATCTCATTCTCGACATAAAATTAATGATAAAAAAAAAAGATTCCCTTGGCCTAACTTACTTTGAAAAGAAAAAGAAATGAGACCAAATACAAAAGTAACAGTAAAAAGAAACGGATAGAGAAGAAGAAGAAGAAGAAGAAAGAGAAAAGCAAGAGAGTAAGAAATGAATAGAGAAAGAGAAATAAAAAGAGCAAGAGAAGTTTAACTATGGGGCCAACAAGCGAACGTACAGTTTGACACTCGGTCGTGTGCACTGGTCGTGGAAGGGTTTCTTTTCTCGAGCCATATGGCGTCCGTGCTGCTGTCGGCGCTTGCAACGGGTACGTCCGCAGCGAAGTCGTTCCTCATATCCTCACCGAACGACGATTAATCTTAAGTAGTCCCCGTTGTTGTGTGTCTTCTTTTTTATATTTATTCTTGTGTTGATGTTTGTTGTTGTCCAACGTAATAATGTTATTATTGTTGTCGTTGTTGGTTGATGTTGGATGTGTTTACTTCACACTTTTATGAATTACATTTCGTTGGGTGAGAATCCCATTTATCCGTGAAAAGAAGAATAGGAAAAGGAAAAAAAGGATACAAAAGAAGGAGCAGGTAGAAATGGTTTATAGGTTTATGTTTTTGTTGAGGTTGATTATTAAAATTGTGTCGTCTGTTGACCGTAAAAGAAGACAACACAACGGACGTCGACGACGACGACGACGTGCTGCGTCGTCGACGACGACGGCTGCTAACTTCTGCTGTTGATGCAACGGTACTAATAAAGATGACGATGACGACGAAGACGACAATGACGACAATAACGACGACAACTATAACGACGAACAATAACGACGGACAACAACGACGACGACTTCGACGACGACGACAGTGACTACTACGACGACGACGACGACAGCGGCGACGGCGGCGGTGGTGGTGCCGACGACGACGGCGTAGTCCATGTTACACGACGCAAGACCGCACAGAAAACTCCCCTTCTCCCACCCCTCCACTGGATCTCCCATCCAATTCTCTCTCATCCCTCTCTCTTTTTTTTTTCTCTTTCTCTCCCTCTCACACAGTTTTCATACTCTCCCCCGCACCACTCATCATCAAACCAGGTGGCGCGACTGTGCTCCCGCGTTAGAGAGAGATAGACGTTATATACTTCTTTCTAACACATATATACTTCTTCTCTCCACACATTTATATATATACATATATATATACAATTGTGTATAGAGAAAAGAGAATATTGAGAAAGAGAAATAGAAAATTAAACTTTGCGTATATTATTCATCCTAACCTCACACAGTAAGGTACATTCCTACTTGTTGATGGTACAATTCAATCATCTTCGTTTGTTTTATATTCATAAGATCAAATTTTTTTTTTTCTTATAAAAATTACTCTTCAGAATCTTCCGAATTATTTGCATAGAAAGGGCTAGGCTAAACTGGATTGCGTTTATTTGATCTGTTTGATTTAATTGCAATGTTTTATTTTGCAAAATTTTTTCCTATTCACTTTTAGGAAATGTTTTCTTCGATGATCTATTAATCCTTTTACGTTTCTTCTGACACGTTTTATATTCTTTCTTTTTGTCATATTAATACATGGCCTGCTGTAAAGTAAACTATTTTTCTTAATAAAAACATTAAATGCAAAAGAATTTGATCTTATATTACTTTATATACCAGCAGAGTAACCACTGCGCTAGCGCGTGACGTGTACAAAGTAAAGAGAGAGGGGGTGGTTTCCCCTCCCAACTCTACTTACGGCTTATTGGTGGGGGATAATGTTTCACTTATTCGTTAAGTCCAAATTAACTTACGCTAACGTGAATTGCACTTTAAAAAAAAGGGGTGCATGTACTTGTGTAAGTGCATTAAAAATTATACTTTGACTTGATTGAAAGATTAAAGGTTATAATATGCATATTAAAAATCCACACGAGTAGATTGATAAGAATAAAAAGAAGAGATTGTAAATACTATTGAAAGTATATTAATTAAACAAAAGAAATCAAACATAACGATAAAGTGTTTATCAAAACTTTTATTGATTTAATGCTACATATATATGGATGTATGTACATTTTTTAATTTACTTATCACACGAACTATTTTTCATTTGTTTCAAAATGTAAAACGTGTTATGTTGATACGTGTATGCGTATTTGGTTCTTCCCCTAACACATTTATAGTTTGGGTCTATTATGAGTGTGAATTTTGAAATATGCACTCAATTTTCTTACATGGTCAACATCGTCATGTGGAATTTTCGTGATGAAATGCGCGCGCATCTTCGTTGCACATTAAAATTTTATTTTCAATTATTTTCAATTCGCGCAAAGAAATATAACTTTAATAAATATATATATATATGAAAATATATGTATATATAATTCACTCAGAAGCTTTCTTTTTTTTGTTTTTGAAAAATATGGTACCACTGGAAGAGGACGACACCTCGGATGTCTGACCTAAAAAAGCTTTTTCTACTTGCGGAATACTTCGGGATTTTCTTGTATCTTCAATTCTTCTTCCACTGATACTGGTTATAATAATGATAACAATAATGATGCAGATGTTGATGACGACGATGATGATGATGACGATGATGATAATAATAATGATGATGATGGTGATAGGTCATGCCTTCCAACTGTAGTTGCACGAGATATTAGAAATTGCTGTATACTTATATCTATCTCATATATCTAATACTCTGAATTTTTGCCACCGACTGTACTCCCCACTTACCCTTCCACAACACCCTTCCCTCTCACTCCTCTAACTCCTTGCCCTCTGGGGACCTCCTTCACTAGCTCGCTTGCTCTTTCGCTCACTCACACACATTTACTCATATTTCTTCCTTCTTCACAGCACAATGTCCTTCTTATTTTTTTATTCTTATTCTTATTCTTATTTTTATTTTTATTCTTTTTCTTCCTCCTACTATTGCATGAGGTGTATGTACAGATGAATTGTCAAGACTTCGAGCTGACTTTTTTTTCTTTCCTCTTATTTCTCTTGTTGGTTATGTTGTTGTTGTTCTTCGTCTTCTTCTTCCTTGTCCTCTTATTCCTTTTCTTCTACTTCCGGGACTTCCCCCGATGCGACACGGTGCAAATACTCTTTGCTATTTTCCTTTACTACTTCGAACCATTCCAATTTAAAATTTTCTTTTTTTTTTTTGTACTTCTTCACTGATTTATCATATATATATATATATATATATATATATATATATATTCATCAATTTTAATTG